TTCNGGGAAGGGACAGAAGGTGGAGACAGCTTGGTACTATTACCGAGAAAATCAGGAAATAGCGTCAATCGCAGACGTGGAGAGAAAGGAGACACGGGAAATGCAAACAGACCAGAATGAGGTTGTAAGGACGGCGAGGAACCGACAGGGATGGAGTTTCGCGGTTTAGGCTTTAAGGCACTGGAGGATCTGGCCGTTTGGGCGCCTTATCAATGGGGCAGGGAACGGTCGCCAATGGCCAACAAGCCGATCACGTTGACTAACCATTGGCCCATCCCGCTGGAACGGGGTTATGCGGGAGTGGGCCTCCATTGGGGGGAATTGATAAGTGCGGGAATGTAAGTTGTTCAGTACTAAATAGTAGGTAGTTTCGATCTATGGATGCTATTGAAGACTACTACTTACCACTGGGAGCGTCTTTCTCCCCCTTAGACAAGGAGGTTCCGGGGGTTCCTGAGGGTTTCTCAAAGCAAGACAATCATTTTCCCCCCCATGCTTTGTTGATCAATCATCTGCCGATACAAACAAACCGAATGGGTCAGATGCCACAAGGTCGTTATCTAGCAGGTTATCTCGAGGTGTCTTATCGAGCGACCGTCTATCTCCGGAGTACGGAGTAAAAGCACTCTAATCTCTAGCTCTCCCTCGGATCGGCCTAGAGACCTCCATTAGTGGAATTCTCAGATCGCGGACCCCACCGGGCACCAAAATCAATAGTACTAGCCTCGTCGCAATCAAGGCCACTTCATCGTGGATAGTCGCATCTGCAAGGTCTTCGAACCTTCAGCCCTTCCAAGGGGAAATGGTCATGGTTCCTCACTCGGAAAGAAAAGAAAAGAAAAGAAAAGGAAAAAAAAAGCAAAACATCGCCTCGTCTAGGTTACAGATCAACTTCGGGATTAGCTTTCAGATGCAAGCCACAATTCCAATTTGGGTTGACCCGTTCGACTTCTATTTCCACGGTCTCATATTTAAGCAGTTATTTGGTTGTCGGTTTATCTAAGTATCCGTCGCTGCAATTGTTGAGCAATGGAATTGGGAGAAACCTCTCCAGCCAGCCATGTTTCGTGCAAGGCGGTAGTCTGCATTCCGAGTTCCCCGAAGGGCGCCTGTGGATGGTGATTTGTCCCGCATCCTCCGTCCTGTGCAAGGGATTTCTCCTAGAAGAGCGCGCAAGTACATCACATGCGAACCAGCATCAATAGTTGCCCATGTGCCAAGGGGGAACTTCCAGCCATTGGAATTGAGCTGCCAATGAACCTTTGACTTCGTCTGAGATCGGGGGGTGTGATTGTTCCACTTCTACTGGATCAATAAGGTGATTCAGTCAGAATGCTTCAGCACCGGGTGTGGTATGCCGGACTATCAGACGCAGGGTGTTTCATCCACGGGACCATCTGGGCATGAGTTCGGGAATGACCTTGGTCACTTCCACTACAAATCTCGTCCAGAAGAGAAGGATCCGATAAATGACCGGGGCGTTCTCACCGTTCGGAAGACGGGAGAGGCATTTGCGTTGTTGATTTTACGTATCAGTTACTGAGATCTGTAAGGCGCCATTGGCTCAAATAATGCTCTCATCGGTATGAACGTCTCGGTGACTTGAACAGAGTTCCAGTGCCTTGGACTTGGCTTCGGGGAGGATCATCAGTGGCTGAGAGTTCTAGAAAGAGGGTTCTTTGTGTGAAACTCGGTACTCAGTAGACAGATAGACAGACAGACCCCATATCTGGACTAGTGGTACAGCAAACATTTTTTTGGGTGAGGCAGAGAAATGGTCCACTCGACTACCTACTGTAGTCTCCTTTCTATCTATCTAGTAGTATTTCGTAGAATAGAAATAAATAGGGAGGAGGTTTTGACTTTCCCCAAATTTGCTCGAACGGGGAGAGGCTCCACCCAAAGGCGGTGACGAGGATCCGCGTCATTTCTTCCGCGGTGAGCCAAACTGCTTCTCTTCCTTTAGTTCCTTCTTCTTCCCTTTCCACTAGAACCATCCTGCTGCCTGCTATTTGGGGGGAAAAAAAGACACTACTGCTGCTGCTACTGCTGGTTGACGGAATGTAAGATACTTCCTGCTTACTACTGAAGAAACTATACTTTTCCCCGAGAGTGTATGCGCTCTTTTCCCTCTCCCTGCTTGGTTTCTCCCCTGCTACCCTATCAATTGCCGGATTACTACGATCCTCTTTACTAGTACTGCTGCTCACCACGCACTAGTTCCAGCCTCCGTTCCCCGATCATCCTTACCAAACCACGATAACACTCTCAATTTTAATCTGTTTTAACCTGTCTTGTCTAAGCCTTTTGGAGAGGTTTTCAGCTCCCCCTGCCCTTACCATTCACAACCCCCCGGCCCTGCAACTAGTACCCAGCCTGTAAGATGCCCTTGCCCCGGAACGTGGCTGACGTTCCCTGATCTTCTCGATTGTCCCGGTTTTCTAAGTTTCTACTGCCAGTGACGCCAGATCCGCCTCTGCCTTTCCTATTTCCGCCTTCCTCGGTGAAACAACCACCCAACCGTAACCTTCAGCCTAACAACGCTTCTTCCTTCTCGGCTCCCTTCGACCCTGTCCTCCTTCCTGCAGCTCCGACCAATGTCCTCCCCATGTCAAGGCCTCCATCTGCGACTGAGAATACCTGGTCAGGACCCCTGGTGACACCTGCCGCGTCTGCCCAACATGATTGCTCCGACGGGCCTGAACTCCTTCACGACAAGCAGCAGCGCCACCACGACGCTCGGAGCCAGCTCATCCACGACGACGTCGTTCAACAAGTTCCCTCCCCATCCCGCGCTGAATCCCCCACGGCTCGTCAATGGGCCACGCCTGTCTCGACCTTTACTCTAAAAAGGCCTACGACCGTCCCCGTGGAACGGCTCTCCCGCCCTGACCGATCGCATAGCCCTCAGCTGTCCGAGAGAGACAGCATTTTCGCTACTCACTACCTTCCTTCTGATAACGAACCGGCCGTCACACCGCAAATTGCGCCCGTGCAAGATGTGCATAATGAGCCGCCCGCTAGCCTGATCCCTCCCCTCGAAGATGTTTCTTCCACTCCTACTCCGATTTCCCCTCACAAGGTCCTCCCTCCCCGTCCTACTCACGTCGGCCCTTCCCACATGGAAGTTGACGTTCGCAGGAAGCATCCATTAGGCTCTCCCTCGTTGCTTCCATCGGCAGTGCCGCATTCTACCCCCCTCCTGCCGGTGGACTCTGATGCGACCTTGAGGAAGCGTTCCGAGGTGCCAAGACGGGGTTCGCATACATCAGTGTGGGAGAGCCTGCAACATCTTCGCAAATTTGCGCCGGACGATGCGGCGACGAAACCCACCATCGCGGAGGATCCATCGCCTCACCGGAGTCTGCTTTCCGCTTCTCTGAATGATGCTTCCTTGGCGACGTACCATCCCGTAACACGCTCGCCTACCAAACAATCTCCGGCCACCAACGTCGAAGTCATCTCCCACCCATGGTCCGGGCAACAAAGTCAGGACGGCGCACGTGTGATGAAGCCCGAGCGAAGCTCGAGTCGGGGCCGCCGTGGCAGAGTCGAGCAGTCCATCGAGGCAAATCTGGCCAATGCGGAGCCGACCTCTCATGTGCGCAGCCGCAAGTCAAGCCACTATTTGGGCCTGTTCAAAGAAAATACCACGTCCCCGGATCGCAAACGCAAGGAAGAGCGCGTTAGTCGACTTGACGAGCTGCCGGAACCACACGACAAGCAGCAATTGACGACTCATTCAGAGCCTCGCTACTCCGGCGAACGTCGTGACTCGCAGTTGCATATTCCCTCCGTGTCTGAAGATACGGGTCTGACAGGTTCCAAGAGCCTTTCGCATCTTTCTATTGCTGACGCTCCCCTGTTCACACCAGGCACTGAAGGCGAAACGGGACCACAGATGTCAACGGATAATGTGGTTAAATCCCAGCCTAAGGCCTTGCCCCGCAGTCTGCTCGAGGAGATCCGCAACTTCCATCTGACTCCTGGAGGAGGTCATGGCACCTCGTTTTCACGGAGTATTCCGACCCAATATGCGGAACGAAACCGAGATTACTTCTCCAAGGCACCCGAACTTCATGGCCATGTCGAGTCACGTCTTTCTCCATCTGATGCGGGCCGAGAGCAACGCCGTGGTTCGGGGCAGTTCGAGGAAGAGGAAGATGAGCAGATCTCGTCTGCTGTCTATTTCCCACACGAGCGCGTCACTCTCTCGGAGGAAGTCGATCAAGTGCAACCTTTTACGGATGGCCAAGATAGCGTGGAGCCCGTTGATATCCCGACAGCGCAGAGTAGTCACGTTTTGGTGCCAAAGAGACAAGTTGTTCCTGAGGAGCAAGAAGCTAATCATGTCGATATATCCCTTCGATCTAAGAATGATAGTAGAATCCTACACGGCGACCTGCAAGGCAGGCAGGATGCTCCCATAGACAAACTTAATGAAGAGTCTCTTCGTTCCATACCCGAGCGCCCTGCTGAATATTCAACAGAGTCCGAACCCGCGTCCGCCGACGAAAGCGGCATGTCTGTTCGTGATGAAGAGTCCAGCGTGACGGATGAGGCTGAAGTGACGCCGACGGCCACTCCGACCCAGCGCCCCCGCCTGACCCGTCCGCGTCACAAGCAGGAACCAGCTGGTCCACTTGGGGCTGTGGAGTTGAAGCCTTATCGCCATCAGGTTGGGGGTCATACAACCGTTTTTCGGTTTTCCCGTCGCGCTGTTTGCAAGCAACTGAACAATCGGGAAAACGAGTTTTATGAGCGCATTGAGCGCAGACATCCTGAGATGTTGATGTTTCTGCCTAGGTACGTATAGTGGTTAAGCAGTTCGCCTGCAGAGCAGGGCCAATCTCGTGCCGGCTAACGTCTCCTCTAGATACATTGGCGTTCTGAATGTCACCTTCTCAAAAACTCCCAAGCGATCTAAGACCCCTGCGAGCCACGCAGAACGCCCTGACAGTGTCAATGCGATGCATTCTACCAACAGTGCAGAAAATGACGGACCGGCCGCCGCGGATGCCCGCAGCCCTACCAAGAATGATACCGAACCGCAACGCATTTTCAGCCAAAAGCAGGTGACCGGCATAATTCCCAAAGTCATACTCGAGAACAATCGCCATATAATCCCAGCAGATCTTTTCTCCCGCGGCCAGCGCCCAAGGACTGCTGACGGTTCGATTTCGGCTACTAAGCGCTTTCCTGGGGATTTCGGGCAGTTGCGAGACGACGAGGCACAGAGCTGCCTTTTGGATGGGTCACAGACCCTGAAGAAAAAGCAATGGGGTGCCACCACTGTGAACAGGAAGCTGCAAGAACAAGTTCTGCGTGAGGTTTTCAGTCCACCTGCTGTGCACCATCACCGTCGCCATGCCCGAGGCCATCTCAATTTACCGAGGACATCCTCAGATGGCATTGAAATCCGGCGGAGGGCTAACCTATCTGAAGACCATACGGCCAGCAGTCGCAGAGTTGTACCAGAAGAATCCGATTCCACACAGTCCGGGGCAATCGATATCAACAGGCAGGCAGGTGACGGACCGGGTCTGTCATCTTCAGCATCTACGGCACTGGATGCGGGCCACAATCGCCTCGAGAAAGTGCGGACCGAAGAATCTCCCCAACGTTCCAGCTCGTTGTCCAGGACCCGGCAGGTGAGACGACGCCGCTCTGGGAGCGGGTTGCAAAGACGGGGAAGCATGACTTGTGGCCAGCCGGGAGGCGATCTGCTGTTCTTTGATGATGATGGTTACGGGGGTGATAAGGAAGACGGGATTTTCTCCATGGAGGGCGATAACCCGGTTCAGCCACCATCCCATCCTGTCACGAATGCTTCAATCCCAGTAGCCCCAAAAGTCCTTGGTGCAGACCCTGTGCACCTTGATGGCCGCATGAGTAGCAATGTCCCCTCCAGGTCTCCAGTCCCACCAAACGCCAAGGATGTCGCTGATGCGCAACTTCCTTCTAATCCCAAGGAGGCCCAGACCAGGAAAGACGATCGAGTGCAATTCTTCCTTCTGCTGGAGGATCTCACTGCGGGCATGAACAAACCTTGTGTGTTGGATCTCAAAATGGGGACTCGCCAGTATGGAATCGAGGCCAATGAAAAGAAACGGAAGTCACAGAGACGCAAGTGCCAATCCACCACGTCCCAGCAATTAGGCGTCCGTCTATGCGGCATGCAATCGTGGAATGTCAAAAAGCGAGAGTACTCTTTTGAAGACAAATACTTTGGACGAGACTTGAAATCCGGTCGTGAGTTCCAGGATGCTCTTACCCGCTTTCTCTACGATGGTGCAAGTTACAGAAGTGTGGCGAAAAAGATACCCGCCATTCTCGAAAAGCTGGCGAAGCTGGAGAACATGATCCGGAGGCTCAAGCGCTATCGCTTGTATGCCAGCAGTCTTCTTATTCTTTATGATGGCGACCCCCTGAACCTAGACAAAGCACCTCAGAATAATGGCCCCTCTGGCTCGGCCAGTATGCGAGACACTCTACAACGCCAGGTTTCAGATGATGGGTACTCGGACGTGCAGTTGAAGATAGTTGATTTCGCTAATTGTGTTACGGGCGAGGATGAAATATCGCCTAATGCTCCCTGCCCTCCACAGCATCCAGATGATATCGATCGTGGCTATCTTCGGGGCCTACGAACCCTTAGGATGTACTTCCAGCGCATCTTGAAGCAGATTACCGAAGACGATTACGTTGAAAGAGGGGAAGGGGAAGCGATTGCGCTTGGCTCCCAGCACGCCAGTCGCGATGACTCGTCTCAGCGCTATTGGGATGAGAATGTTCTGGAGACTGACCCTGGCGAGGTTAGCTTCTAGATCCGGGTGCCTCCAATCTCTGACGGCTGGGACTAGGAGGGCCTCTATATTCTGTTCTCATTCCTGCCATCTACGGCCTCTTCTCGATTCTCGAGCTTTTGAGCCGGAGTTATCGGGGCTGCTCTGTCCCCAATGTCTACATGGCAAGTTCTTCTTGCATTCACGGCATGTGGCATCGAAACTTGCATACCAAAGAAACACAGCAGGCTTTGGCCCTGTCCATCTATCGGGGCCAGCGCTATACCCACGCTGGATGATGTTAATCGATCATGATGATGGGAGTAGATGGGGGGCCATTACAACTTGTTTTCTCGGCAACATACATTACGATATTGACGAACGATCATGGCATGATGCTCACCACAGACACCTTAACTATCCATGCCGGGTGCATAATAGAAGGTCTCTGCATGGGGGCCACTACATTCTCATGGCGTGTATGAAACTGATTTGCTTTTTTTTCAATTTTCTGTTTGGTCTGCCCTCCCTAAGAGTGCACCGGTCTTTCTTCCTTTCAGCTTGTTATTCCTTCTCGGACATGTGTTACTGATTATACCTCCTGGGGACTGGTCCGATTCCCGGGGACTTTTTAATCCGTGCTTTTTCCCAGCTTCTTTCCACAGAGTGTTATTCGGTATTTGTGTTTGTGTGTACATACCTATAGGCGCTGAGCTTAGACCGGGGCGGGAGAATCGAATATCTGTAATGTTTGATATGACTGCATCCGTAGACTTCAGAATAACAAGCCAGCATGACGGTGCTACACTGTATGTGCGCTGCCCAAGGCCTTCAGGCATCAAACCACGTGAGGGCGGCGATAAGCGGTGTGGTTATCGCCTCACGGCTTTATTATCTAATCGCAGCTTGGCTCATCGCCTCGTCAGTCAGTCAGTCAGTCGGTCAGCAGCCCATCTCCGCATTCCCTTCTCCTCACGCATCTCAGGGGTTTGCTGGTTTCCAGTCTCGATGTCTGGGAGGACTTATTCGATGTGCTGAAGGCCTATGGTTCTTCTTTCCCTCCCTTATCTCGTGTTGATTGATCTTCTTGATTTGCTGCCTTCTGATTTCCGTTTGCGGAGGACTATTTTGCGGAGAAGTGAAAAGGCAGGCCCATTTTGCCAGGCACGCTGTTATCTTGCCCCTGGTCGGACCCGAAAACACTCTACCCAGGCAGTTATTGCCCGCTTGAGGCCCTTCAAAGAACCATAATTTGCGAACACTCGTCCTCATCCAGATCGCGCTATCACGGCCGAAGGGGGAGACACTATGACGCCATCCCGTGATAAGCCCGATTCAGCTATCGACAAGAGGGATTTTGATGCTCATCGCCCGTTACTCGATGATGCAGATGCTGAGGCGGATGAGCAACAACGAGGACACCTACGGTCACGGCCACAGTCGTGTTTATCGGCCACCAACAATGACGATGGTCTCCTGAATGATGTTGTCGACGAGATCCTAGAAAGGGATAGAAAGAAGATGGCCAAGGAAGTGGTGCGAGTTAGCAGTTTTGCGTGGGGAGTTATTAGCTGGTAAGATCTCTTGTGCGTAAATAGGATGCGCTAATCACCCCCCTCGTTGGATGGGTGGCTAATTGGCATTGTGATCATTAGTCTTGGAGCTGGTAGCATTACCGCATTCTCGCTCTACGGACCCCTGTTGCTCACTCGTCTCCACTACACTCAACTCCGGGTCAATGCTGTCGCAATCGCCGCGGAGGTCTCGATGTACTTACCTGTCCCGCTTTTTGGATATCTGTGTGATCGGTACAGCCCATCTCCGCTGGCCTTATTCTCTGGTTTCGTGTTTGGGGCTGGGTACCTTCTGGCTGCACTGGCCTTCAAGAGTGGACCACCTCCTGATGCAGGTGGCGACGGCTGGCCATTTTGGGTGATGATTGTGGCATTCATCGCCATTGGCGTTGCTACCAGTTGCATGTACTTGGCTGCGGTCGCAACATGTGCCAAAAATTTCGGCAGGGGTAAGCATAAGGGAATCATGCTTGCTGTTCCTATCGCGGGTTTTGGCCTTAGTGGCATGTGGCAAAGCCAAGTAGGAACGTACTTCCTATGTGACCGTCTTGAGGATGGTACGCGTGGGGATGTCAATGTATATAAGTACTTCTTGTTTCTCGCCATCCTGTTGTTCTGCGTTGGTGTAATTGGCACCTTTGCCCTCAGGATCGTGGATGAGAACGAAGACAAGTACATTGACGAGGCGGTAGAGGAGTTGGAGCGCAGTGGCCTCCTTGAGGAGAGCGAGTTCTTCCGGCCCAGGAACGACGACAGAACCGCATATGGAACGTTTTCGCAGGCCGAGGACGGCACCGGATCCGATGGAGACCAAACTCTGACACTGTCAGAAGAGGAGCGAGAAGCAGCAAGACTTGAGAAGGAAAGGGAAGAAGAAGAACGCCGGAAGAAGAACTGGCTGCTGAACTACGAGACGAGGATCTTCCTCCAGGACAAGTCAATGTGGTGGCTTGCCATTGGCTTCTTCCTGGTCACTGGGCCAGGAGAGGCATATATCAATAACGTATGTTGCGTCCATATACTGACTATGCCATCAAAGCATCTCACTCTGACTGACACGCTCTCTAGCTGGGCACTATTGTCCAATCCTTGACTCCTGTATCAAATATTACAAATGCCTCGTCACCTGCAGGCTTACCATCAACCCATGTCAGCACCATCGCGCTGACCTCGACCATTGCCCGACTTCTCACCGGCTCGCTCTCCGACCTCTTCGCCCCTCCAGCAACTCATCTCTTCCCTGGTCCGAGTAGCCGCCCTGCCTCCATCACATCGGATACCAATCGCACCACCTTCACCCGCCTTGCATTTCTCCTCCCCTCCGCCTTCCTCCTCTCCATCGGCTATCTCCTTCTCTCCTCCCCGATTCTTCTCTACCACCCCGGATTCACCCACCTTACCACAGCCCTGATTGGTCTCGGCTACGGCAGTGCCTTTTCTCTCGTCCCGATTATCATCTCTGTCGTCTGGGGAGTCGAGAACTTTGCCACCAACTGGGGTATCGTTGCCATGGTTCCAGCCGCCGGAGCCGCCGTCTGGGGTTTGGTCTATTCGCAAGGGTACCAGGATGCCATGGACGACGGAAATGGCACGAATGACGGCCAATGTCATGGCTGGAGGTGCTTTGGATTCTGGGCCGTGGGATGTACGGTAAGCGTTTGGATCGCCATTGGGGCTTGGTTGATTGCGTGGAGGTATTGGAGACGACGAGGAGTTGTTGTTTAAATCCATAGAATTGTCTTCTTTTTCCCCCCCTAGCCTACCTCATTTTGGGTATGCTTAAGCCATGTTGGTGTTGCTCATTATATTAGCCGCTCATTGCGTTGTCTTCCCTTCTTCTTCATATACCTTCATTCGAAGCGGCGCAACTACCCTAATACGGGTAGTATTGACTTACACATTCGCTGATTGATGGTCCAAGTTGCTATTGCTACTTTAGCGGGGAGGGGTTTCGGGTCGTTCGTTTTACCACACCATACTTATACATATACGTCTTATCGGGCTACTAGAATATCGTTTGATTATCTACCTATATTATATATGCATTGCATACCATGCATGGCTTTGAGCTGAACTGATTGAATGATGCTCACTATCAAATAGCCACACGCGGCATGCCTACGGTGATTACATCAAAGACCGCTTCATCGTGGAACTCTATACTAAATCCGATATACTGGCTACTAGGTCATGGACATACATTAAGTTGCGTCTCGGGAAGCTAGATTTTACCAGCTACTACATGTCTACCTAGGCAGGGTCAAAACAAGCAAGACATGTGCCTGAGGTAAATGACATGGAATCTCATGTCTGTTCAAGATATGCCCATGAGAAAAAAAAGGTCGATTTCAAAAGCTAGACAAGTGGATCCTACTTCGTAATTGACCTCGAGTTCAAGTGCCATATATGCCGTAGATGCTCCGCTTGATGCAGTTAATGCAGCCTATTAGCCCTCAGCATGTCATGGCTGCAGAATTCAGTCAGTTTTTAGTGCAGCACAAGCAAATATGGGTTCTCTGAGGGTTAGTACGTACGTTGAGATATGCACAACAGACTTGCCAAGACTGTTCTTGACATCGTGTCCGTCATGTGGGTTCAACGATGCTGTATCAACACAGTAGGATGATGGGGACTTCATCATCGGAGTATTAAGGTGTGGTATAGTAGAGCTTGTTCTTCAGTGGTCTCCCACCCACTGTCGGACGTTTGTTCATACTCCATTACTGACGAGTACAGACTCTATTGTGCATGTGGATTTATGTGTAGAATAGATGTGGTATGCAAGGATCAACGGCGTAGGGTGCACTGTGGACGGAATGAAGGGTAATGTTGAGAACACATGTCCATTGTGGCTAGAGGCTTTCTTCCTGGTGAATGATTGTACGGTAAAGCAGGGTAATAAACTATATGCCCAGACTTGCATATCTCAACTCGTTTGTGCCTCGCGAATAGATTTTTTTCGTTCACTTGGGCTTTTCTCGAGTGTACAGGTCCGTGTATCTGGATCTGATAGAACGGAGAGAAGGTTGGATCGATCCAGGATATTGGGCAGCTTTGAAGTATTGCTCATAGGTGGTGTGAGTTCCATAGGGCCAGTCGAGTTCATAGATGGTATATTGTCCATGGGTTGATTGAACTCCTTCAAATCGTCTCCACGTCAATTGGGAGGTCAATCCCACGGGTTCCAACGTCGGCGTCCGCACAAAACCTGGGAAAACAGATAATGATTTATTCGGTGTAGCTCTGTGCTACGGGTCAACAATGAATTCCAGACGCAGCCTATTGACCGAAACACTTGAAGATCTGCCGATGTTCTGGAATTGTGGTAGCCGGGAATACTCGTCTTTTTCACTTTGAAATTCCATTGCCTTTGTTCTTGTCACAACTGATTTCGTAACTTTTCTGGTGTAAATTTGGACTTCTTTTCTGTCACTGACATCAGACACACTCTAAGAGGTATGGAGAAGCTTTGTAGACGCTCTCACTCAAGGCTGATGATCTTCATCGAAGTCAACTTGCACGGGTCATCTCATTCATCCATCCAACGAAAGTGTACATAAAATGGGGCATTGATCACGAAAAGACCGGTTGGCTGTAGCTGGTCATGCTTTCTATGTATATTGCTTCAGTCATCCGTTGAGTCTTCTGAACCAGGCAAATTGACAGCAAATGAACTCGTAACACTTTGGAATACGAGCAGTATGAGATTGATCTTCGTAAGGGGTACATGTGGTGTATCTGGCAGTTCTCGTCAGGATCCTCTCCCACAACCATCGTCCTCGTTCACCGCATCAGTCATGACTGTGGAAGAAGTATTCCACTTGACAAAAATGTGTCGCCAGTGACCATTTTCGAGCACGGTGCCCCTCTGGTGCAAAAGTGAAATATCGAAAAAGAGGTGATGTAGCCACTTGTAGTATAAATCGATCGTACTCCTTGCAGTCAACAGTGACTGGTCTTCAGATGGTATAGTAGCCTGATGATACAATTCGTTTCAGGTGTCCCCATACGATACTCGGGTTGCAGTGCAAATCATGTATACCCCATCATCTATCAATTTCCAGAGAAATTGTTAGCAAGAATGGCCTCAATATAGAACAATTAATGAAGGACGTACCAACTTCGCTCGATATTCTTCCAAATCCCTTTAATCATCCATGAAATAGACCCCCACCCCGTGTGACGGAGGGAACCGACGACTAGAATCCATAAGAGACGGATTACCCATCAGACTTCCCGAGCAGTGGTTCCTGAGTCTACCCATTTGAGTGCAGAGCCGAATCGCTGTATTCTTTATACGACATCCTCCCTTCTGTCCACAGGATATACGCACGTCCATGCGCATATATGCTCTTGGAACTAGCCGATATAGACTGGAACAGAGGGACTAGTTGGTCCTTATTCTTCGAATGGGTTTGTGAGGGGATATGGATTCAACTCAATAGAAAGGTGAGAAGGCTTTTTCAGTGGTCCATTGAGTAAGGGGATTATGAAGCAGAAGGAAAGGCATTGAAGTATAAGCAAGTAGGTGGGAGTGAAAATGAAAGTCTAGAGGAAGTAGAGAGTGAGAGACACTGTATATAGATACACTGTATGTGTATAAAAGGTGATAGAGATGGATATAGATGAAAGTGATAGAAGAGGTAAAAGAGGGAAGCTGTATGCAGATGGGAATAAGGTAGAGAAAGGATGAAGAGGAAGAGAGGGGAGGGAGCGAAATAAGTAGCCCAGAGGAGAGCATGCTGACAACATGTGACATGGAGGCGTCTCGGATACAAGATGCAGAGTGGTCCAGGATGAGGTGAAACGCGGGAAAGTAGGAAGGGAGATGGATTGGCTAGATTTCTCGTATCCAGAGGGTAATGAGGACTTAAGTTGTACAACCACCCAGGGATTATCATTCAAAACTAGGTATCCATACAGATAAATAGAAACTACAACCCCAGGCAGCAGCTGAAGTAGGTAGTAGTAGTACAACAAACATTGCTGGTACAATAAGTGACAGTGTTACCAATCTGAAACTTTTCAGAAGTCAATAATGGAGCGCAGTGGTATCAGAACATATCAGTGCTTCACCCATTCGCTGTCCTCTTCCAGCCACGCTTCAAAGTTCTTCAGGCCAGGATGTATCTTCCTTAGACCCTGAATATCTGCACCGTAGCCATGACTGTAGAACCAGTTGAACATAAGCCGCAAATCAGTGACCATCCACATCAGTACATAACAGACCACCCGGTATGTGGTTGGCATCGTCTCCCCCGTTTTCGCCTTGAACAACTTCTGCATATGTTCGAATGTCAAGTCATCTCCGGCGAGAGAAATACACTGATTCTTGTAGTTTTGTGGCTCGAGAAGAGCCTTGGCTGCAAACACCCCAATATCGCTGACCGCAACGCACTGCAGCGGTTTGCCCTGCAGGTAGGCATCCCAGGCTGTGGCGCTCAGCTTGCCTATGAAGCTCGGGACAAGATTCTCGAAAAAGAACACCGGACGGAGGACAGTCCATGTCATGGCTCCATCCTTGGTCTGCTCGAACAGATGGTGTTCGATGCGATGTTTGCTGATGAAATGAGGGATATTGGTTGGATTGTCCGTGGAGGCATCACCACCGCGATCGACGGAGCTGTAGACAAAGTGTCTGATGTCTTGCTTGATGGATTCATCAACCAAGGCTTTACCTTGGACTTCTTCTTTGTCTACATTTTGACCTTTCGCCATAGGGTTCTATCTTGCGTTAACTATTACCGCGGGTGGGTGGAAAGCATATGGCTGGAGACTACCTGAACGCTAAAGACCCCAGAGATGGGCCGAGTGGCGAGTTTCTTCGCATTTTCGAAGATCTCCGATGGATGATCAAGGTCGCCCTGAAATAGCTTAATTTTGGGAGACTTTCCGGCAAGCTTCTGCGATGTTCCTGACTGCGGGTTGCGGGTCACGGCGAGGATCTCAACGTCTGCGTCCTGCGCCAGCAGAGCATTAATGACCGCACCCCCTTGGTTTCCGGTGGCTCCAGTGATGAGTAGAGTGGTAGCCATGATTGATAGATGAATCAAGAATAATTATTCACAGCCTTCAGTTATCCAGGGGTAAGTACTAGAAAACAGCTGAAGACAGCTTTCCATGGCGATGCGCATAAGGCCGGTCGATCTCCCGAATCTGTCATGTTGAGGTCATTGGTGGCCGCACACGGAAATGCCTTGCGCACCTGACTAATAAGGCCACCAATAAGTATTTGTTGCGAAGAAAAGTCTGAACAATTGGCTGATTGCATGATCTTAGTCATGATAGGGTCATTGTCAGTTTCTTTTCCCTTCTGCTACCACTACTAGTAGTATTCTTGCCTTTCACCCATTCTTGGGTCCAGCTTGAAACTACGCAAAAGCCAGTCCGGCGATGGGGTAAAGTTACGCAAGGCTGCAGGCAAACAAACCGTAATATTACCACCCGCCCCACCTGCAAGAAGTGTGAAAGGAAAAAAAGGGAAAAGAAAGCTGAGGGATATAATTATTACCAGCAGCAATGATGATAATGCCCAGACATTCACCTCATCGAATTTTCAAGGCAAAAGTTGTACAGGGCTAGTCTAGAACCCACTAGCAAAGTATGTACCTCAGCAGATCGACATGGAGAAGCCGCCAGCGTCCGAGGTTATAACGTAATACCCCGCAGAGGAGAAGAAGATGTTGTGATCCATCTAGACCCCTTTCTTGCTCCAATCCAGTAAAGTCTCCCCCCTTCGACCCGTGACCTGCTGAGTTGGTGCCCGCATGCCACTAACGAGGAGGAAAGCTCCCCTCGTGGCATTCAATTATTGAAGCGGTCATATGAACCTCAAGGATTGAATGTTCCGTGGCCTAGAGTCTTCTCTGACTGGTTAATTAAGTTTCCCGGGTGGCTAAACCGGTTGGGGATGACAAAGAGAAATGGGGAAATCACGACACTCGCTCGAAATGGTGCAGCTCCACTTGCTTCTCTCCACCGCAACTGCTGCAATTTGTTTCCACTTTGACCACTTCACCTTCAACCTTCCCCAAGAGTAAGTCAGTGAGTTAGTAAGTATCACGAATGACTGATCCCGGATCCATCCATCCAACCACCGCAGATGCCATTACGTACCGGAAATTCCCCCATTCCTCCTTCCCCCACAACATTACGTACCGCTCAACATCACTGTACAAGCAAGGAGCTTCAGGGACAAGGGAACTGACTGACTGCCTGCCTGTCTCGCTGCTTGGCCCTGGTTGAAGATCGGGCGAGAGGGAAACGATACTATACTGATGTTGCTAATCATGAATTTCAAGGTGTTCGGGCTGCACAGTCAACTCGACTCTCGTTCTCTATTAAGGAAAATTATGTCTCCACTATATACATGCAGTGAGACCATTTACAAAACTTTTATTTCACATGCTCGCTGTCTCCAGTTGCCTCTCCTGGGCAATTCAAACAAATGCTCTGGGGTCCGGGGTATTTTCGGGTCGCTGACAATGGGAAGGACTCCATAAACGGTGCAAACTTTTCCTGAACCAAGCGGCGTCTCCAGTCTCCGGGACGCTCAACCTCCTCGCCCATATCACTGCGGTCGGATTGATACTCCTGGCTATTCCTCCGACTCTGTGGGTAGACGCCTCTCCGACTGGGCTTGTACGGCAAAGGCAAGGGCGACTTGGCCCTCTGCTGCTGCAGGCGTTTGCGAGACCGCTGCAGCTTATCTAGCCCTCGCGCAATTTCATCCTTGTTTTCCTTCAGCGCGTCACTGAATTGGAAGCCAAAGATTGGGTTCACGTGTCCAGGATCGTCCTCGGGATAAGCGTAGTGGTAGTTGTAGTCCCGCTGGTGTCTATCCTCGCGTCGGATCTCCGCTTCAGTGCGAGGCCGCTGAGGCAGCAAGTGGATGAGATTGCACACATAGAGAGGGAAATCGTTGGGTGACAGACGGAAGAATAAGCGCCCGGTATCGTTGGGATCAATGCGCGACTGGTCACGTTGTCGAAGGGTATCACGGGCATGGTGGAAGCTGATGGGGTTGGGGGTGGCAGCCTTCTGATTCGGCTTTGGAGATGCCAGGGTCCCCGCTGAATACTCGAAAAACTGACGGGGATCCCTTTCCCCCTCGTAGATGACCAGTTGCATGCCCTTCAACTTTAACCGATCCAATTCTAGGAGCCCGCCATCCCAGAAGGTGTCCCTCCAGGTCTGCTCAGCATAGCGGAAGTGGACTTCAACAGAGATGGTAGACAAGCCGTAGAATGCCAGGCTGATCAACGAGAGCGTTTCGTTCCATTCGGCCAGATGTGTCTCTACGCTCTGCACCAAAGGGATCCGGATTCGGAGATGGGCTATGGAGGCGACTTGCCATGCTTTCAAGCAATAGGTGAAGTTGGCAAAGCTGCCAAGTTCTTGGGTGAAAAAGGTGGCTCGACTATAGGGGAAGTGTCTGGCCTCTTCGTATACCTGGCGACAGGTGCGAAGGAAGCCGAGACTAAGCGCTGGATTCCTGTCCAGGGATTGGGGGCATGGATAATGCCCGGAGGCGATGAGTGGACCATGACCGACGTAGATGTCGCGGCTGACTGTTTGCCCCTGTTTCGTTTGACATCCCGGATGTGAACAGAAGCCATCCCAGCTATTTCGATTAGTCTGGTCGGCCATGAACTGTCGCCGGACTTGGTGCCAGCATTTGTCGACCGGACACCAGACGGGAATGGGTCTGCGTTGGATTTCACAGACATCATTATCGTCAAACACCGCCTTGTAGATTAGGATCCGGATCTCCGCCGGTAAGGATAAGAGGTGTCGCTTGGGGCTTCAAGTGAGACTGTCAGCAACAACAAAATAACAAAATGCTATTGAGAGAAAGCACGGGGAAATAGCAATGAGCTTACCGATTTGGTTCCATGGCTCATCCACTATGTGTTGAAAGTCCCGTCGAGAATGGTACGAAGGTTACTATACCCTCTGGCAGACAAGTAGGGACGGGAAGAGGTATAGAAGTAAATGATAGTAGTATACTATAAAACTAAAGCTACCCAGGCCAGGGGCACAGTATTAAACAAATTGGAAAGAATAACACAAACCAGCGGTCAAGGAGAAAGCCATTTGGCACTGTGAATGCCCTGAACGAGTTGCAGGAACCAGGCATTATTTATACAATTTCTACAATTTCTGACATAATGAATTGTTCTTTTGGGGAAGTAAGAAGAGCAAAAAATGACGCGATGATCCCATTGTTGCAGCAACTCGGAACTGGAACCCCATCAAAGGCGGTGGGTATTTTTGGTATCCACCCCCGCTTCCATACTAGTACTTTCTAGTCATAAGTCGCGCCCAATTCCATCCCGGGGAGTGCGCCATATTTAGTGATCGTCCCAACGCCAATCACGCTCGCCCCAAATGCCCACTAATCCCGTAGCTCGTGCACCACAAGTCGCACTATCGCTCAAGCTACAGCGCGTGGTCGCTATCTCAGCCATTCTCCCAAACAGGGGTTGATGGCTAGTCTGCTGCTCAGCCTCGTCGCTGGTAGAGAGGCTGCAGTGAACAGCCACAATGGCCTCCCTCCATCTCGAGATAAGGACCATGGACCATGAGGTATAAAGGCGTCATCTAGAACGTCTGGCGGATGGAATCAATAGACTTCTAAGCTTAAAACTCATCTTATATATTTGCTAGAGATCTTTAATTTTTTCTGCGTTGCTTCTGTTGTACGTGCTCGAACTGCAAACCACCGAGCAAGCGCTTCCACTTTAGCTGTCTACTACATTACCATACCCACTCAGCCCTTGCTGCCCATTCAGCACACCATATCAGAATGCCACGCCATCTCTCTGAAATCCTAAAAGTCTACCCAGAAGACGAGCCCTGGTGTGCTGGCTTTGCCCCCTCGCAAGGCCGTCGCTGCCACAACCCCACAAACGCCAGAAACCGCCGACATGCCAGTTCCCTCCTCGAACAAGGAACCCGCTTGCTCAGGGCCGGCCAATCTATCGAGCATATACTTGAGGACTTGGCTCCTCTCGTCCTCTGCACAAGAAATCACCAGAACCAAGCTGTCGGCTTAACTAATACTTGGGTCTCACGAGTCGATACATATGTCGCGAAACATCGGTCTACTCCTAGGAGCTTGCCGAGTAAATCGACTCCTCGGCGGTCGCCATCACCAACGATGCGTAATGAAACAAGTATGGAGGATCGACTTGCGGAACTCGAAAGGAAGATGCAGGATGCAATTCGTAAGGCAGAGAGAGCACAGCGGGAGAAAGAACGGGCGGAGAGAGACGCTGAGCGGACTAGACGGGATACCGAAAATATGGTCAGAAGAAGTGCGGCTATGGGATATGCCAGAGGACAGGAAGAAGCAAGAAGAAGAAGAAGCTCTCCTCCCCCTACTGTTGAGATTGAGACGACTACGGTTGAGCACAACGAGGAATACGGAGTGCAGAGAAACTCGATGTCGAGTGGCTTGCTGTCTTCACAGAGGCAGGACCCTCGTGGAGGGAGTGTCGAGACGACCTTGCAGGTCAACACTTCTACCAGCACGAACTTGCAACTCCGCAGAAGCACTATCGTTAGCACGACCAGGGTACAGAGGACAAGCGATGCCCCAGCTACTCCCGCTCAAGCTGAACGACATGCTGCCACCCCCGAGCTCTGAACCCAGAATAGTCGAAATCGATGACACCAACGATGCACTAGCTACCCCTGCCCCCTGCCCAGCGAAGCAACAAC